GATTCTGCAAGACAAAGCTTATACATTGAGAACTGGCATCATTCAACTGACTAGAAAGCTTCCACACATGTATGTACTAAAGCTAGCATTATCCCGTTAAGATTGAAGGCATCAGCCTCTACCTATACAACAGGGCTCCTGTAGGCTTAAAAAAATACACTCCGGCATCATGGTTATTGATAGTTGTACTTAAAAGTAAGATAGTTGTGGGGAAAATCGTTAATTGGCTGCAGAGATGTTATGAAGTTTAGCTGTATCAATGCAAAATAAAAACAGCGGTAGTGCGCTATAGATTACGTGTGCAACCATTGATCTATCTATTGGTTCTCACCCAAGCATTGATGGTACTCCGGGATACCCCTTGCCAAGAGGCCTTGCACTAAAAAAGAATAAACGACAAATTATTGAGACTTGTCAATTTAACTATGATTAATTGTGTTCTAAATCTGTAAGAACGTACAGAGACTGAACATAAATAGCGAGGCAAGTATTCTCATCATTTCTTCTAATCGAGGATTACGGAAACAGTATTGTGGATCTTTCGGCTGCCCACAGGTTTATGCACGTGAATTTATAGTAGTCTCCGTGACCTTGTAACCCGTCCGTTCATCTGCATTCGTCTCACCTGTGCTAGCCACGTGCGTGCAATTTGATTTGAACGCAATACAACTTTCCGTCATGTGGTACGCGAATAAAGTTTCAAACATACCCCACCAAGGACAGAACACTTTTAGATAGAAAGTGAGCCTAGGTTTGTTAACCAAATAACGAAATTTCCCAGGGAACCATTTTCTGGTCATTATCTGTGACAAACGTAACGATCACTTTAACCTGTGATTCCTATTTTTTGTATGCTTAGGTCTCTGTGGGCAAAGTGCAAACAGTTTTGTTTAGTGACTCGGGAATAAGTGATCTACTTGAGAGTGCTCGGTAAAAGATTCGTTACGGGACATTTTCGAGTTACCATTCTGATTTCTTACACTGTTTTCAAAAAACCTTACAGATGTTTTAAATGCTCCAGTTTTAACTGGTCGTGAAAGAAACACTCCCGCATTACCTGAACGTTATGAACTGACGCAAACCCCAGATTACAAGTAACTTGGGCATTTTTGACGAAGAAGCTTTTCTTTACATCAACCGAACTGTTGTTCCGCCAGTTCTTCACGCCAGTTCACCGCAACGTAACAAACCCAAATTTCAGCCTGAAGCATCCGCCCTTGTATTTTTTTGAAACTGGAATTCAGGCTTGTAAATATCTTTGGAGCCAAAACCCGTCTACTTTCCTTTCAGCGCACACGCACCCACAGAGGAAGCATGCAGCAAGCAGTTGACGCTTTCTATAGTTGTGAGTAGTAGCTATCTGTGTACTACTCACAACCACGCAAATTAGTTCAGCAGCACCTTCTACTTGTGAAAGGTGAGTATTACTGATGAGGCATGCCAGTAGTACGTGGTTTTCTCGTAACTCTGCCTCGCGTCCAACGAAAGCTGGGCTTCATTAGGGAACTTGTATAACTGCCTTGCGGTGTTCGGTTACAATGCCGAAAGTGTCGATGATTATCCGCGAAAGTCCAAGAAGACGCTTGAGGATGTTCATCTTTAAAAAAACGCATACGGGAAGCTTACCCTCACGCCCAATAGTTTGTAGCTGTTTTTGAATAGTGTTTTCTGATAAACTACTCCGGGAACGAATTTTATGTTCCATCAAGGCTACACAGCTTGGTTTATGGGCATAGATCTGTGGCAATCAGATTCCTTGACATAGGAAACCAAAAAAAATTATTTCAACTCCTTTTCGCGTTGACGTTTGGACAGCAGCATTTTGACAATGCATCCAGTTATTAGAAAAGTCATTCATATCACCAAGAAAACTACGACAAATTATTTCACAATGCGGACACATTTATCAGCCCATCTATTTTGATGTACAGACGTAATTTTGACCAGTAGGTCATTTGAGAGGCAGGTCTGAGAGTACACGCACTGCCTAGATTTAAACGCGGCAAACAAACCGAAATTTCACAGTAATCAAAAATTTTCACAAGGCATCAGAATGCTGCTTTGAGTCGTGTTGGTCAACATCAAGATTCAAGAATAAGCAGCCAATGCGTCCTGACTATTACGTATCAAGCTCACACAATGCCAGTCCTGTGAAAAATGACAAAATGTCTTAAAGTTTTTCTAAAGTTGTGCCATCAATTTTGTAGTCGGCATTTTGAAATCTGTAAGCTCACGTGACTTAGCAGCAATTTCAGGCCGCGATATATTCGGACTCAAATCAACTCCCTTTAGAAAAGAAACTGCCCGTCTAAATTTGCATGATCAGAACGCTTCAAACGAACGGAAATTCTATTAATTAGTGTTTCGTCGTGGTCGATCCTCTTATAAACTGTCAAAATCCACAGAACAGTAGAGCTGTGAGATTTAATTCCCCTCAGTTGTCAAATCCTTGAGTTTGGTTTGTTTTATCTATTTCCATTAGGCTTGTCGGAAGACGGCTCGCCTGTTTTTCAGAGTTTGTAACAAGAAAGGCAGCATTTCCTAGTAAGAAACTTCCACGTCTGAATCATACTCATTTTTTCTCGTTTGGATGACTTTACCAATTAGCTCACCGGAATTTTAAACATGGCATTCAACTTCCAAAGGCACCAGCAGCGTTCGGTTTTTTACTCAAGCTCACGTTTGGTACGAAGAGCATGGGTAATCAGTGATGTCCCCTGAGCCACATCGATTGCTGAAGATTCTACGGCCTAAAAACAGATATATCATTTTGCCTTCACTCGTGTAGAAGCAATCGGTATAACGTATTTTCCGTGCACCACTTTCGAGGCCATACGGGGAGTTAAAATCCAAGTCATCAATTCGGTTAGAACACCACAGCAATAAAATCGTGACAGGTTGAAACAAAATCAGGGCCCCGCGTGATCGGGCATGGTGTGATTACCCTTGACTCGTGTACGTTATGGAGTCTCGATGTTTTTCTCAACTGACTAGTAACCTTTCGTGCTTTAATTGCCGTCTGATTGACAGGTGTGAGTAAGCAGCAGCTCATATTTGTGAATTATACTTTTTCGTGACGAAATCCGATCATCCGCTGCCTGTTAAAAGTGTACATGCATATGTATTCGGCACGTGGCATCACCAAAAGTAGCGTTTCATTTCATACAAGGCGTTTTTTCAACGTTTAGATGGTAATGTTAATGTTGGTATTAGCAAGATAATTGGGATTGTGTACGCCCTTAGCACTCGCGTGGCTGTAGAAATTCCACGTGGAAGTTTGCCTTATGTGTCACCTGATAATCCGCCAGAAACTAAATCACTTTTTGACCCAATTAAATGTTTATTTATTTATACAGTAGCCGATGCTGAACTGAATAGTCATATTGCAAGTTTTGGCAGAAAATAACCTCTGCATAAATTTTCACCTCACACACGTCCGCTGTGATTATCGATTGTTCTTTTGACGCCCTTTATGACAATATGCGGCAATTGTTTGGCTAAATACTCTAGCCTAGAATCAACCCCAAAGTGCACACATATGGCGATACAGCCATCTACTTCGTGGCGCCCGGGCAAAGTTCGTCATTTTATAATTCAGAATATTCCCACCGGATCTATCAATTTCAGAGTAGACCCACTGTAAACTGGACATGACGAGTTAACAAAACACTCCTAAATGTGTACCGCAGGCTGCTACATGGAGTGGAATTGTGGCCAAATTATTTTGATAAGCACATATATATATATTTTCTGCCTCGTTTTTGTGCTCTCCAAACACAAAACTCCGATCGAATTGACCAGAGGGGTAAAGGAACAAAATGATTGTGCGTTATTGAAACTTCGGCAAAACGCAGCGGAGCAATTTTTCCCAGAACTAAGTGATAACTGCAGTGGTGATTAGGCGTGGTTAATTCAGTCTGGGTGTGTATCGCGTGCAATATAAGACTAGTTTACGGGAAAATGGTTCACTTTGCTTTGTGACATCAAAAGTGGAGATCGGATTATTAGAGAGAAACACCTGAGGTGTGCAAAAGTCTATTTGATGCAAAAATTCACAACATCTGACTCTCTGCTCATCACGGCTTAAGCATAATAATCACGCTAAGGTAGTAGGTTTTTATCGGAATAAAACCACACCAAGTCGCCCACAGTGCCGGAACTTTCTGAAACACGGAGGAGTAAAATCCAGAAAGTAGGTTAACTGTGTGTGTGCACCGTTTTAGACAGGTTACTTGCTAAATTCAACATTCTATTTCAAGGATTCCATTGAAAAACCTCGTACCAGCCCAATCCCCTGACCCGATGCTGTGTCCAACCGAAGGCGTATAAATCTTACCGGGACATCTGTTTCTTCTGAAGAGATTTCACCTTCACCATACCCATCAACTTTGTTCTTCTCCTTGAAGCTTCCGGGGCGAAGTGTACTAGTCGGTGCAAAAAATGTCAGGCTTATCTTCGTCACAAACAAGTTGCGCAATGTCTGGGCGCAAGCAAGGCCTTTCACAGTGTTACACCAACTTTCGTTCACACTTTTTTTCGAATCAGCCTTGATCGTATGTTGGACTGTACTTTTGAAGAAATCAAGTAGTCCGTAGTTACATACCTGAATAAATAAATGGGCAAGGGTTGGCATTTACATCCACATTTATCAAGCAAGCCATTCGACAGGAAAAACAATATCCGTCACGAAAAGTTGATTGAAAACCAAAGCCCCAGCCTGCGAAGCAAATTAAGGCTGATATTAGTAGAACCGTTCCTCTAACGAACAGCAATAAACGCAAGATCACCAGTAAAATAAACAGTAGTGGATAGTAAACAAGTTGCGAATGTGTTCGCCTTTCTGCTGACGGTCATGCTTGCCTCGGAGAACGTTAAACGTTTCTATAAAAGACCGTGAGCGGCAATCTTACCAGCCATCGAGCAGGTGCCCGTTACCTTATATCGGCAGACGTATTTTGCGTGACATACCCTCTCTTCCGCCAAAGAGGGTCTGCTGTCATAGGGGTTCTGGTCTTAAAGTTGACCCACTGCCCACACTTCGCTTATGGATGACCCACGTGCTTTCCCTCTAGTAGTATCCATATGCAATCGATGGAGCAAAGCTTCTGGCTACATTGAAAGCGAAACGGAATGTGGCCGCTACCGCTTTGTGAACTTCATTTTTTTTCAGATGAACGACGCAAAACTCTACATTTTGATCAGTGTGTCACGTAATACACCAAGGCCATGGAGGTTTCGCCACTGTACGTTTCTGATGACTCGTGTTCGCCGGCTTCAAGAGCTTTCTAAGTGTGTTTCTGTATCACTCAATTATCCAGAAAATACATCGTCTACTTTAGAATGGTTCACAGAACAAAAGCTAAGCGGCGGCAAACTAACTGAAAAAAGATTGGTTACTACACATTTGCTGCATTAGAAAAGTTATCACCTAAACAAATGTCCCGGAAATTTCTGTGGAGGCCAGTTGAATTTCAGAGTCAACATGAACTCAGATTGTCTGCGATTATTTGAACTACTTGCACGCTTCATCTGTGGTACGCCTGCTAACATCATTCCTCCTGTATTCTGCTCAAAGAACACGTTTCCAAGGCACAGCTAAAAGCAATCTATCACCCGTAACACCCTTCCAGTGCCTAGCTGCCACGCCATCTGAAGGAAACACGAGGGCTGGGAAACGT